AAACATGGTGAGCTTAGGGAAATCAGACTACTTTCTAAGACCAGACCTATACTGTGGGGAAGGCTCTCAACCCTACAGAAAAGGTGCTGAGTATTGGCTGGCAGTAACCACCCCAGTCCACCAAGGAGTGGCACTGATGTTGTATGATCCTATGATTCTACGTTCCTGAGCTCCACAAGTCTACAGTGATTCCTGTGAATGACCCCTGGGAAACTGGAAAACCCTCCAGTCCCACCAATAGACGGCAGACTGAAAAGTTTCCACCTGACTGCAGTGCACATTAGGGCAACAGGCCTCAAAGTGTATTGCTTTTTTCTTAGTTTCTCAAACTTCAGATGATAGAATCTAAAAACAGAGAAAGCAATCACTGAAAGAGTCAGTGATTTGGTGTAGAGATTGCACTGATGTTCTTGTGTTACAACCTTTTTGATAACGTAGCCGCATACTTTATTGTGGTGGAAAATAAGATAGTTTAATTTGCTTAGCATCTTATATTTCACAGAGGTATGGTCAGTGTGTTGTCCCTCAGAAATGTGTGACACTGTTGCAAAATAGACTAAATTTGATGTCAAATCCATGTAACATCAATTTAAATATCCAAACAATACATATGGTCAAGACCCAACACAGCTAGGCATCTAGCTCTTATTTTCAGCTTTGTATTCCAGTGAAATCCATGTGCTTAGATTCTGGTGTATACTTTACTGTGTTACACTATATGCTTTTCAGCTTGCTAATGCTTTGAAATAAGAATTACAGTGGAAATTGCACTGGAAAATAAGTGGTTTGTCTGCCATCCTTTGCTACCTTGCACTGCCCCAAACCAGTCCCCTCATTGCATAGGATATATGGGTTGCTCTTTGGAGGTGTCAAAAAATCTCACTGCAGAATTAAGGGATTCTGGGTCATTCTCTTGGGGCTAGATGCTTAGTAGGTGCTTTGAATCTGGCCATGATTCACATTTCAAAGAACCCTTAAAATATTATCTTACTAATTTCATAAATATTTGTACAGTATGTAGCAGGGAAGCAACAATTCTTATTAAAAGCTTTTTACAGAAGGCACCATTGCAATCCAAGATTACAAACCCAGATCCTTATAACTGTAATTCCTGAATACCTTGATCTTATGGTGATTTTAGCTTTTCTAACAGAATTACGGTATCTTACTCATCCTTGTTGTATTGACAGAATGGAGAAAATCTCCTCTTTCAAGTAAACCTAATATTAGTGTCTGACTCACCAATATGCAATGTTTTGTCTATAAATATTTCAAACATCTTGTGTTTGATTGTATATTTGGTGTAACTGTTTACCCCACTTATACTTTCTCCCTTATTCTCTTCCATATTTTCAAATCTGAAATTGTATTTATCATTTTACTCCATACTTTATCCCATGTGCTTTCTATATAACCAAAACACTAAAATAAAATTATAATTTACAAAGTTAAAATATATGTCAGTAAGAAATTATGTTAGTAAGACATTAAAATTCAAAACCACACCACCTGTAGCTAAGGCAGTTGTTTAAGCTAAAGTCCCTCTCTAAAAAGCCCCAGGTTTTTTCACTCACAAGCTTTGGAAAGCTGTTATATATTATCTGGCCAAATACATACATGTGTGTATATGTGTGTGTATATATGTGTGTATACATATTAAATGTAGGATTATGCGTATGTGAATGTATATGTATATGTATATGTATAAGGTCTCTTCTTGCCAGTAGTAAAATGTACCTTGAAGAAAAGAGGTTACGGACATGTCAATCTATAGCAGCCATGCATCAAGGCCCCCGTGACAAGTATGTGTGCACAAGTGACTATTTTCTAGGAGTTTCAAAGTCCAGTCATTTCTAACACCAGCAAGGAGAGTTTCCAGTTTTCCTTTCTCCTGCTCTCTCTGCCCTGAGCTCTGCAGACATGAGCTGCCCTCCCTTCCCTCGCTCCCCACCTCTTCCCGTTAGAAATGTCACTATCTCCATCTGCTGCCCCTGCATTCCCTGTGCTGGCAGGAACGCGCGGGCAGAAGGAAGCAGCTGAAGTCATTCAGCATAATGTGGTGCACTGACACTTCAAAGGCAATTACTAGCATTTTTCATGGAGAAAAAAAATTGTGCAAAAGGGATTAACGCTGCTATGTTTCTCTTTTGATGCCTATAACACAGATCCAGACACATCTCCTGCATTGTCAAGTTCAACTCCTTCTTGCTGCAGGCATCATGTAGTTTATTTGTTCAGTATGAGTACGCACACTTTTTACTAGCTAAGCTAACTGGTGATTGAGGGATTGTTATGTCTTCCAGTACATCCCTGGAAACAATATATACTTTCATAATACCTGAATTACATGGAATTTCCTTTGTGTGTCTATCGTAAATGATGTTACAAATTCAGACAGCAAATGTATATGTTATTGTGATTAGCAGGACTTCTTTCATTTGAACCTATGCATGCTTTACTGTTTTTATCACATGAAACTGTAATAACACATATCAAAAAGTGTGCGCTCTTATGGGAAAACACATTTTACAGGAACTGCTTCTTCTGATAATTACATATTTGGCGACAGAGGGTGAGGGGGTGAAGAAAAGCTATTTTCCCATCTGCAGCAAATCCTGACAGCCGCTTAAAAACAACAGTAATGAGGGAGAGAAGAAGAAATACTTGTGAAGGCTTTAAATATTAGTTTCAGATAAGTGTGCTACACACAAAGCCTTCCTTGATTTACTGCAGTTTGCAGGGGAGGGGGCTTTGCACAGCCCACTGGAACGCCTGGAAAATGCAGTTATCTCAGGATGTGTAAGTCTCAGTGAATATTTTAAGCAAGAAACACTTAGTGAATGGTTTACTTCACAGCATTCACACCATTCCAACTCTGGACAGCTCCAGGAAATGAAGAAGTAAAAAATGGATCCAAGTTTACTGACCAAATAAATTGAAGAAAATGGAAACATTCAGATCAGTCTTTCTGAGTCTGAAGTAATTCACCTCATTCTTAATAGACTCCTCTTTGCTGTGGAGCCCCAAGTATGGGCTTGGGAAAGTCTGGAAAGGTAAAATGTTAAATGATAACTTTTGTCAGTGCCAGACAACAGCAGAAAGCCTTGTAACTGCTGTGTCCAAGAACAAGACATGCAGAGTAGAGCTGTGCCCTCAGCTGTGCCCTTCACCCTACAGCATCACAGCAATTTCAGGGTAAGCTGGTTGCATGATCTTACATCTCACAAAACTCTGTCTCTTCTTGTCCATGGGGGAATGTGGCATAGCAGCCACCCGCACTGCAATAAGCAGAAACCTTCAGTCATGTGCAAGAGAGATCCTGAGGCCTTTGAAAGGTCTTTGCTTTATAAAGTTGTGACTCCTGTGTTCTGCCTCGCAATCCTATCTGCTGGCATGTGTAATCATAACCCTTCCGCTGAAGACCTATACTATAAAAGTCTGCAATGCAAGTTACTGAATACATATGTTTATCCGTAAATGTCCCTATTTAGATATAGAAATTCTATTTCTACCTTTACATATACTGTACATTTTCTGTAAAATCCACAAGGCATTAAAATGCGTGCCTATGAAAAACAGTACGCGAATGCCCTTGATTTCCAGGAGCTGTTAATCTCTCCTACCTGTGGAATTTGCTGCTCAATAAACAAAGCGTTTCTTCTAACACCTTGAATAATTCAGGGTAGCAAAAGTCTCAGAACACTGTCACTAAAAATTGTTTTGAGGCTTCAGCTGGTGATTACTGGACACTGTGAAATGGGTACACAGGGATACAAACCATACAGTAAAGCGTGCTCCCTAGACCAGTAAGACTATTTGAAATGTGCAAAACAGAATTAAGAAAAGTAGGTATTGGTTATCAGGCTCTCCGTCTGCTTTTGATTGATGTTTTAGATTCAGAGGAAACTGATTGCAACTCTAGTGACTTGATTCAAATATAAGCAGCAGCTGCTGTGATACTCCATCATGAACTGCGCCTGGAACTGTCTGTGGACTGAACACAAGTACAGACTTTTCCATTACCACATGGATGTAACTGTGGCTTCTTGTCTCCACACATGATGCAGTTTGACTTTATATATTTTATTAACTCTTGATTTTGCTTTAGATTGCAAAACTAGCTATACTGACACCAAGTTTTAAATGATGTATCTACACACTTGGGTATGGGGTTTTTTTTGAGTGTTCTGAATCCCTATTTCAAAAAAACAATTTTACATGTAAAGTGAGGTCAAAAGCTTAACTTCTGCTAATTTTTGTGCTTGGCATTTAGCAGCCTGAAAGAGTGTCAGCTTGTTCTGGGTTTTCATTTTTACAGGCATTTGGAAGCAACCTGCTAGCACAACCCAGCAGCCAGTGCAATGTGCAACTTCATTAGTGAAAAGTGTCTGAACTCACAAAGTTACCACTGGCTGGGGACTGAGGCTGGAAAGAGAACATGACATCCTAACATCATAAGGAGGGTACCTGTCTGAAGGCAGGAAGCATTGGTACACCGTTCTGGTCAGCTGTCTTTCACCACATAGTGGCATCCAAGGATGCCAGCTCTCTTCCTGTGGGCCAAATCTGGTACTTTGTGAAAATCTCACCAAAGGTCTCAGGTGTGGAGGTGCAGCAGAGAGGGAAGGTGCATACTGGATGTCAGGCTGCTCAAGGGGCAGTAAGCCACAGCAAAAGCTTTAGGCATGCTTTTGGTAGCTGAGGAATAGACAAATCTGTTGGGCAACGATCATTCTCCTGCTTCTGAAAGGCTTGTGTAGCCTCTGCCCCTTGGTCTTTGAGCAAGAGCTAAAAACACACTATGGGGTTGCAGTTATAAGCTCTGGATGGCTAAATTCAGCCGTATCGTATCAGTGTAACTGGAAACATGTTCCACTTTGCATGTTAGGCACATCAGCTAGTACAAATTGCTACTCTTCTGGTTCACCTCAGTGCAAACAGAGAACCTTAGGAAACACCTAACAGAAAGCAAGAGGAGAATAAAAAAACATTTCTCAAAATCGATTGTACACAAAATTTTATTGTTTAAAGAGAAAAAAACCCACACAACACAGTTCCCAGATTCAATTACTGTTCTATTTTGAGTACAAGTAAACTTCTGATTCTTGCACTTCAAAATGTCTTGAATTAGTTTAGCAGTCTGAAAGGACTCAGCTTTTTCATAACTCCAGGCACAGCACCAAAACGCTCAGCCTGACATCCAGTCAGGGTTATTCTGGGGATTAATCAGGATGCCTGATTCCCAGATATTTTGTGCACATTGACTAATCATGTGATTACAGCAGTGCTCTATATGGATAAGCCTATCCATCACGTAGCTTTCCAGACAGTATTTGAGGTACTCTACCTCAGGAAAATTAGTGTGCTTATTATTTCACAGCTCAGGTTCCAGTTGCTTGCAGAAGCGACCTCCATGTTCTGCAGTGATTTGAAACATTTCTTGAATTCAGAAAGCATCTTGTTTTACTATCATGGTGAAATTCAAGCACATGATCATATTTTTCTCAGAATCATCAGAAAATCCTTGTAAAATAATGCTATAATTGCCCTAAAACAAAAAAGAAAAAGGAAATTAGTGCATAATGCTTCCCACTCTTGTCTATGTAGCTGCTTGGAATGGTTCTGATGATTTCTGTGAGGACTGGAGTCGTCAATTCAAGCATGAGAAAGTTTTCTGACATTTCCTTTTGCTGCTTTCTACAGTTTGGGTGAACCCCTCTTTTCAGAAAATACATGCATGGAAGTATGTGATTTTACTACCGTTATTTCTTTATATAAAATGCTGACAAGTACCTTTGGAAACTTTGTTCTTGCACCTTTAATGTCAAACGCTGTTGCAAGTGTTTCTGTAAAACAGAGATAGTTATAATACAAATGGTTACTTAATCATAAAGCCATCAATCAAACTTCCTAAATAACTTCAAAGCAATATGGCATAACTCTTAGGAGTAGTGCCAATGCCATTTACTCTTCCACTGGTAAAGCTCTCACCTGTTTCTTCTCCCAGAGCTCTGCATATTTGTCTAAACTACATCAGAAAATAGAAATTAACCACAATGCTCCTGCAATACCTCCTACAGACCCGTCCCACTGTGATAACTCCCATACTTATACTAGTAGTTCGGCTGAATGATAACCAAAGAGAGATTATGTTAATTTTTAAGGAACGGAAAACATGGGCTGTCTATTTTGACCTCCTTACAGGTCTTTTTGTCCTTTAGCTTGGCATCCTGCCGGAATACTCTGGATCTGAACCTGTGTGATGCTAATGTTGGTTAGCCTGTAGAACAGGATTGACTACTAAAAGAAAGCATTATATATGGGTGTAGAGAATCTCTTTAAAAACCCATCTAGGCACTTATCTAAATAAACTGTGTTCTGGATATTAGTAATGACCCTGGCTTTCTGCACAGTCCAGTCAAGTGTAGTCTTTCCAAGTAATTTTAGAGATGTTAACAATAAAAGTGTGATAATGAGATGAAGGCTATTAGTAATCCTAATTTATAGAGATGGAAACGGCGGTACAAGGATATTAAAACATAGAATTTGGAAATTCTCTTCTTCAGTGGGATTCTGGTGCCAGATAACTGCCTGCTCTGAAGTCTGCTGCCAGCCAAGCAAGGTCTTGGTTATGGAGAGAAAAATCTGTCTGCATGGGTCTTTTAAGAAACCTGCTTAGTGGTGAAAAGGGCTGGGAGGATATGGCCCTGCTGCGGATAGAACCTGCCAGGCAAGGGAAAGGCACCGTCTGTTTTCCACACTCACCTCCTTTCAGCATTCCACACACTGAGTATTCATCATCAGCTCCACTGCAAATGACTTCTTTCCAGTGTAACGCTTTGGCACCATCGTACCAGACATTGAAGACGATCTTCAAAAAGACAATGTCGCTTCCTAGTTAAGACATTGCAAGTAAGAGAATGGTAGCTGGTGGGGAAGAAAACCGTACATGCAGACAGATAAAAACTGGTGTTCTCTGAAATAGAGCACTTTTTAAGACTTCCCCAAAACTGGCAAAAATACATATCTTGATACTGTTATTTCCAGTAAAACAAAACGCTGGTTTTCAACAAAACCCACCAGTCTTAAGAAACATTTGAGTGAACAATTTCAAAACCTGCTTTAAATTTCTTTGGCAAAGATAACAGAGTTCACTCAGCTCCACAGGTAACCAAATAAATACTTAGATGAGGACTCTGTAGTTTTAAGCAGGTGTTGCAAACAAGCTGTGCTGAATGCTGGTAGCCGTCACGAAGATAGCTATCCAGGGAAGCAAACTTAGTCCAGCTCCAGAATTTTACTCAGAAGGTGAAGTTTATGACACAGCCATTTCATAAGTAACTCGGGCTGCCTTCTTAAAGCCGGATTTAAATGTTGAAGCTGGGTTTTCATACACAATCCAGTACTGTTTCCAGCTTCTAGAACAGGAATAGTTTTAGTAGAAGTCCTGCCATACTTGGCTAGCCTAATGATATTCTCTCTCCTAAAAAAGACATGGATCTTCCTCAGCCCAAAATAGCTTGAGGGCTCACAAACCTTGTCTGCTTCTTCCAGACAAATGCACTTGCACCTAAACCATCTCATTTTTGCATGTACAGTGCCAGTTAGCGTGTAGAGCTATGGTAACTGATCCAACAAGTAAAAATCACATACACCTATTTCCACAAATCATCATTTCTGTCCATCACTGTAGTTTATCTATTCCAGTTTTAATCACAGAAACTGATCTCCTAAATCATTTGGCATTTAGGACGGTGCGTCAACTTTTTGCTTGCATTCAATTTTCTGCATTTGCAGAATACAGTTGTCTAGTCAAGAGGAACTCAGGAACTCACTTGGAATCCAGGTAAGAGCAGCATTCCAGGTGGATTTGTTCATGGTGCTGCAAGGAGTCAAATTAAACATGAAAGCATGTGTTGTAGAATCTACAGAAAAAAAGTGTTTCTTATTGGTAGTGTGAATAGGCTTTTTCAGGAAAACAACAAAAATATACATACATACACACTCAGAATAAACACATACACATTTTGAAATGTATTTAATATAAGGTATATACTATAAAATTGCCTAATATAAGTTTTCATAGTAAGTATTAAATATGTATGTTGAAATATATATTTTTCTTTATATGCTTGCAAGGCACATTTCTTGAGTAGCAAGAGAAGTCAATTATCTGGTTGCTATTTTGTTGATACTTCGCATGAAAAACTGAGAGGCAGAAGTACCTTTATTCCTCTTTTGAAGCTGCAGGAACATTTTATTAGTGATAAGCAAGCATGGTCCTCTGCTGAAAATATCCCTACTTATGCTAACCATGGAATCTATATAAACTTGCTGACTACAGCTAAAAATGTTTTTAACACACCAGCATATTTTCCAGGATAATGTAAATGAGCCTTTGAGTAGATTTGCTTTTTGGGTGACCCACCTAGCATTGTACAATGCACAGTGTCAAATGCAGTGTGATAAAGCATCATACAACCTGAATCTAATAAAATCTACAGCCCATTACCTGGTATTTTAATTCTTAAAAAAATCATCCAGTGACAGCCTTTGGAAGGATTTCCAGAGAGCATTTTTATTTGTACTATTTTAGGAAAGAAGTCTGCTCAAGTCAGTTTGCTTCTGCCCTCCTTAGTGTGCTCATGCTGACGAAGTGCCCTGCTTGCTGTGGAGTCTGGCGATGGGAAGCGTTCTCCCTGTCCTAACCCAGAGAGCAAATGGGATGGCAGGGTGCTTTACAGTGAAGGGTTTTGTCATGTGTTTTGAGGATTAAAGCAGTGGCCTGCAAAGGGAAACTGTCTGGCTGTCAATAACCAGCAGTCAGATTCTCATCTCGGATAGAACTACCCACCGGAAATTAACAACAGGAAGATGATCAAACAAAACTCACCATGGTCAAAGGTTGTGAGCTTACGTGGGACCACTTTACCCTTGCTATAGCTATTTTACAGTGATACACACTAGTAATGCACAAATTTACAAATGACGTGGGCCTTTCCTTGCAGAACGTTTCCACAAAAGCCCACCTTCTGGCCACTGAGTCCACATAGGCACACTGGGCCTGTTCGACACAGACACCATGGATGTGCCAAGTTGTTACAAAATCAAGAAAATAAAAAAAATCAGTGAACTACATAGATCCAGCAGCCCACAACACAGACACGGCAAGAGGGGACACACTCTGTTACCCCAGACGTGACCGATCCTCCATCCAGACAGACAATCACATTCCCTCTTTTTTTCAATAAAGCTTTTCATTGCAGTATATTAGTTATATCAATGTGGATAGCTTATACATTTCAGTACTTGCAAACAAGTTTAAATCCCTTATCCGCTAATATTTCCTGAATCAAAACATACCTGCTTTACTTGGGAGTAAACTTCTCTCATAGTTGCTGCAACAAGCATTCTGGTAATATTTATGCCTATGCAGTATAATTCTTATAATAGGCTAATTAATAACAGAAATATAACAGCTGAACTTTTTATTTTTCTGCATTCATCAAAGAAACAATATGAAAGATCGTATTTCCTCAGACTACAGTAACTGTTGTGCAAATGCCAGTAAGAAAAGAATAAGCTGGTTTTTACTTACCACAAAAAGTGTATGACATTTCTAGATCTGACGATGTACAAAGAAGTTCACCGACTCCAGGGGTGAATAAAATGAAAAAATATAGCCCAAACATGCTTACTTATTTTGCTCACTATTTAGCGAGCAAACTTTGTTTGAGGAAAAGAGGAACAAAAAGTCAGCACAGTCATCCTCAGTCACATGTCTTCAGGGAATCTTGTCTTTGGTCATTTTGTCAGATTATTTGCAATCTTAATGCTACTGCAGCACTATAAGTCATCATCACAATAAATTTTGTGAAGAGAATGTATTTCTGGTTTTGTTGTCACATCTTCCTCAGACAACACAGCTCAAGCACGAGTGAAAAACGAAAGAGAAAACTGCGTGGAAAGGGGAAGTGAGGAGAAGTAAAATTATGATTAGCAGAAGTACATAAAGGGCAAGTTTTGTTGACTCATCAGATGTTAACATTTGTTAAAGCATAATTTCAAACACTCGCAGAGATCCCTGTACATACTAAAGAAGAGAAAAATCCACACATCATGAAGACTAAGTCTACTCTTTTATTCATATGGTATTCAGTAACTCTCACAGGTTTTCAGTATGAATTTCTTACAAAGCTCACCATGCTTCAAGAACACACCAGCACTCTGGAGGAGTGTAACCAGATGATGTATTTCCAAATGGAGGTAAATGCAGGAGCTGAATGCAACTTTCTCGCTTGTTACTGAGTGGAACCACTGATGTCCTGTACAGTCAGCTACTCATCTTCAAAGCTATGTCTATCACAGTTATACTTCTTAGTGAAAGCAGTCTTAGAAATCCATAAAATTACAATTGGTAAGTCCCACATCTGCCTCCCAGCCTCCCTCTTTGACCTTATCCCATGCTGTTGCCTACAGTGTCTCCAGGTGAAGCTGTGCTGAACAATTGTCCATGAGCACAAAGCTCAAGCCCTGACTGTGTGACAATGCAGTGCACAGGCTTGGATCCAGGCAGACACTAAACATGAGACAGTGAACAACAAAAGCTGTCAGACTGTAACTTGGATGTTTCTATAAGAACATAGAATCTACCTGTCACCACTGAAGCTAGGTTAGGAACCGGATTTTACCCTGGCATGTTGAAAAAGTCCAGGTTGCACATTTTGGCACTCAAGTTTGAAACACTAGACTAAAAACCCTTCAAGCACTTTTGGTATTAGATACACTCTCTGTCTGGTAGTGCAACACACATAGAATAACATATTTTTTCTGTATTTGCTATACCAATTCTGTGACCCAAACTTAGGTCAGCTTTTACTGCACAAACCCAGTAATACTGCTAGTCTCAACTACAGAAACAGACCCCAAAAAGTCTAATACCATATTTAAGAGAGCACAATCACCATCTGACAGGAAAAACAATTACTTTTCTGAATATAATAAAATACAGAAACTTACTGAATATATGGCAGAATGACTTACAGGAATTATTTTCTTGGGCATTACCGTCTTGATTTGTATGTCTGCAGGCTCCTCTTAGATCAGAACTGTATTTTTTTATGACAAAGAAGCAATATATACAGTAGACTGGTATTTGGTTTTGTGCTAAGCCAGAAACTCAAGAAAAATTACTTACAACAAATATAACTTAATCGTTATGACTCTCCCCACTCCCCAACACAGTGCTAAAAGTTTTTATTCTCATAAATTCTGTGCACATCAGGGTAATATTTTACATATTATAAAGTGCAAAAGATTAAAAAATTAGTTTTCAGAAGCCTGAATGTGCAATGCAAAAGATAATTTAGGACTAGTGACATTCACAAAAACATGACTGATGCGCCCAGAAGATGGGAGGAGTTCAAGACTAGTTAAGGAAGATGAGAATTCAATTAAAAGTACCTCAAAGTACCAACTTTAATGAGCTAATACATGCAATAATTCACAAAGATAAAAATTTTGAAATTTAATATGGCAGGAGAATTCTCTTCAGTATTTCCAAATCTTTCTACAGACCACAAGAAGAGTCCCACTGCCCTCACAGAGTTCAAGACTGAAAGAAATGCCTAACCTTTATCTCTTAAGTGGGAATTCAAAATTACACAACTTTCCTGACAGATCTCCAGAACACATACATCACACACAGATTTTTGCTGATGTTTAATAGGATGCTATGAAACATAGAGACCCTTTGTGATCATAGCAATAATACAGTTCTGTTTCAAAATGGCCAAATTTTGCTTAAAAACAGTAAAATATGTAGTGAAATTGAAATAAATTGGGTAGGATGTAATAGCTGGGAAAAAAAGAAATGGAGTGATGCAACAGCCACTAAGGAGCAATGAAGCAGCCACTAAAGAAGAGCCACCTTGTGCATGTATGGTCAAAAAAGGCTCCTTTCAACCACAAAGCCATGGCTACTGATGTGGAGTCTGATCAATTAGAAACCAAGCCAGGCTCTCTTTTCTGGCAGTCCAATAGGTGCAGCAAAAGTCACAGGTCAGTTTGAGATGGGCACGAGACGGCACTGGCTGTACCCTATTGATACATATGATTATCCAGCTGAAAGCACATCCCTCTTCAGCCAGACTTGTACCTGCTTCGCTGCACAGTGCATTGGGTGACTGATGTACATAGGCAGACTAGAAAGAGCGCTGTAGATTTACAAGATTTAATATAAAAGCTCTTTTAACATGAATGAAGACAAGCTCCCTGCTGAACTCTGTGACTTTATAGACCTGGCTCAAGAACAGGTGAGATTTTTTTTCAGATACTTGATTCAGTAAATGATATAGACAAGGAATGAGTCCCCCCTGGTGGCCTAGCCAGACAGACACATAGAATCATAGAATAGTTAGGGTTGGAAAGGACCTTAAGATCATCAAATTCCAACTCCCCTGCCATGGGCAGGGACACCTCGCTCTAAACCGTATCACCCAAGGCCTCGTCCAACCTGGCCTTGAACACTGCCAGGGATGGAGCATTCACAACCTCCTTGGGCAAAAGGGGAACCTCTATTCTCTGGTGTTCTTTATTGCACAAGTCAAGACAATTGCAGTGCTTTAAAAAAACCCCAAACATTTAAGTAGGCTCCATTTTAAAACAATCTGATTTGCTAATGGGAAACTAGGAACAATAAGTGCTACTGGTATCAGGGCTAAAATTTTACTTCTGACCATGATTATAAAGTCTACAACCTTGACCATTGTGTCTGGTCAAATTGTCCTTAAATCAAAAGAACCTCAATAATTTTAAAATCTTTTCAACAAATTCAATTTTAGATGCTGTGGCTTTTGATGCCTGTATGGATTGCCATTCATAGAAGTATGCTCACTGAAGCCCAAACTATTGGACTAGAGCTGTGAGGAGTGTCCTCTGTCCCTTTCAGGTCATTATGAAGATCACTGGTGAAGAAGGATATAAAGGTCTATATATTTTACTTTTACTAAATAACCTTTCTTTACTATAATCTTTTTGTTACATATCCTGATACAGAAGGAAGATGAAAACAAGAGAAACAGAAGTGGAAAGAGCTGCACAGTAATGTTACTTCACTAGAGTTTTGTGACAATTTACTTCATTTTCATTTATTTTTAAATCCTTTGCAACTGTAGGTAGTAGGGACCAACTTATATTCCATTAACAGTACATGAAACAAATCCAAGCCTAGAGAATTTAGGACTTTATACCTGTGACTTTTCGTTGTGCTTACAACCGACATCCTGAGAGCGAAATTTTAACTCCAAGCCTCCACCAAATTGCAGTTAAAATCCTTCAACTAATTAATGATATTTTTATCTTCTTTCTCAAGATATCTAAAAAGTGCTTAACTTGTGATTGTTTTTCAAAATAATCACTTTGTAATTGGGCTGCTGGCTGCAGATGAGTACTTTGACCAGATAAGCACTTATAAGTCACAGAAATCTCCCTTTGGACAGATTTATAATATACATTATCATAATATCCCATCACAGAAAAATAAATAACAGGATACCAGTACAGCAGAAGAAAGTACTCCATTTCAAAGTGTTAGACAGAATTAAAAATTATGCCCTAGGTCTTGGCATGTACCAAAACCTCTTGTTAATGGAAAACTCCTTTAAGATGTTAGACACATTTTTTCAATAAAGAGGCAATAATAATTCAATTTTCCTTGCAGGACCACTTGCAACAATTTTTGAAGTAGATTTTTGTGCAGCTGAAGGCAGGCATGTTTATTATTTCTGATTCTGGGTTTAGGGTTGCTGCTGAAGACACTCCAGTATAAAGGGGTTATAGGTAAGGCATAAAGCATGTATTCACAAAACAGAAACATGCACAGCAATCAACATGAAGAACAGAAAACTGTAGCAGTTCATGGATAAATCTCTCTTATCAAGTCCTCTCATCCCATCTTTGACAATGTTTATAGTGGAAGTAGAAAGTCATGTCCAGGAGTACTGGAAAGCAGCAGAGGAGTCAGCTCCTCTACACACAGCTGATGAAGTGCTTGAGAGTGCCAGGAAAATCCAGCCCAAGAGCAGTGCACCAGCACATAGCCAGTGGTGAGCTGGTAGCATTTGAGTACAAAACCAAATAGCTGTGGAAAGAAAATGTGATGTGCATTATTCTGAATATATTTTTAAATGCTGTTTGCACTTTGGCTTAGTGGTTTGATTTGAATATATCACATTAAACCACTGGAGACTATTAAAGTGAAGCAAATACACACCAGGTGGTATCCTGCAGAAACAATTACGTTGGAAATATTTCTGCCTGTTGCCAGTAGGCTTACAGTTTATTCTTTCCAAGACACATTTAGTATTAAAGCTTATAGTTATATCCTAAAGTACACATTAAGCCATTAAAGCTGTCATAAAGAAGAGAAAGCAGAGGGGGAAGGGAGATGAAAGGGTTGTATCCTACCTGAGGCTGTCAGAAAGCACACCACAGCAATACTGTCCACCCTGGCATTCCAGAAATGGAGACAGCTGGACATGTTTTGCAGCCATTTGTTCTTGTTCTCTGTTCTTCCCTGCTTAAAATAGCTGCTTGCTGAGGTCTGTATAGCTGTGGGATAATCTGTTATAGTGGATCCAACCGCTAGCTAGCACACTTGTCCCATTTCTCAGGGGGGCTGCCACAGGTCATGTTGTACATGAGAGCATGAATAAATCCATGGTATGACCACAGAACTCCAAAGCAACCAAATTGCAGCAGCTTACCAAGTTTCCACCTATTGAGTTATACTGAGCAACTGTAATAATTCACGTGTGCTCTTAATTTTTACAGCACAAACAGAATTTCAGGAAGTTTCCAGCACCTAAGTTAGGCCCTCACAGTACCATGCAAATATCTACAGATTTTCTTCATCTTTGCAAGTGCAATGATTTTGGCTTGTAATAAAGCAAGCTCCAGTGACATCAGTTACCTTTTAATTCTAGAGAGTGGGGTTAAGAGTGTGAAGTACCTCAGAGCTTTGAAGATTTCTCTTTGAAGTATCAAAAGGGGTAATTTTCTCATCAGAAATTTTTACATTTGCAAGGAAAGGCTGAGGGTTGTGGGATAATTTAATTTAAAAAATGTTAAAGAATGGCAAGAAGCATTGTACTTCCTAATTAAGAACTGAGAGAGATTAATGAATAATATTGTGGACAAAGTCAAAAACTTGAGAAAAATTGAGAGGGACACTGGCAAGAAAACAGCCCATATTCAAAGGCTGAAAATTAAAATTCACAAGTATCCTGTCTGTTTCCCTAGGAAAGAAGTCATCTATAACCTTTTGTAGACGCTTTTAAGGCTGGAAAGGGATAGGAAACATATGTCTAGGAAAGAAGCTTGAGTCATTTTATACATTCCTGTCCTTCACAGCAGATTAAGTGGAACTGGTACCAGGGTAAGATGGTACTGGAAAGGCTGCAGGAGCTGGCAGCCTTCATAGCAGGTGTAGCTTTGCAAATAAGATAGCTTGTAAACCAGATATTTTAGAAGACAGGGCTTCTACATCAGTATTTCCTTCAGAATCTCCAAGCATTGAGCACATTCTCTAGGTCTTATAAATTAATTGTTTCTTCCACGTTGTACACTAGTTACCTACACCCAAAGAAACAACAGCATTTTCCAGGGATGACAATGTTAGCAGGCAGTAATACTTCTGCAGTTAGAACTATTTTTCACCGAGGACATAAATTGCGGGAAAAAAAAAAAGGAATACAATAGTTCACAAAATTAGTGAGATTGTGAAGGATGTGGAGGTAACATAACCAAGCTTTGGGAATTACTTGACAGCTATGTATTTAGTGAAACACACTACAGCCACTTCTCTTGCAGAATTTGTTAGTACCAAGAGAGCATGTTTTGGTTTATGCATATTTCCTGGCTTAGAAGGATACCGAGCACTGCAGTTTCCCATTTGGAAATACGCTCCATGCACTGTGAAATATCTGCATTAAGACAAACTGTTCAGAACCCAAAGTAAAACAGAAATGCATCTGGAAGTCTTTTTGAGTTACATTCCATTCCTTTATTTTGTTTCTAACATGAAGAACAAACTATGGTTGTTTGAATACTACAATTTTGGGTCCTTCTCTTGCTAACTCTTATGTCCTCTTCTTTCTGTACTTGGCAGTAAAAAGATGAAGTTAACTTTACCCGCAAGCACAAAAAGGAGAGTAAACACATCAGACATGGAAAGATTATTTGTAATTAGGTGTAAACCATTATTTCAATAAGGACAAGTAGTACGACTAAGTGGTCAGAAGTGGCCTCATGTCTTCAATATGATTTACAGAACTTTTTGTTATATATTATTGTTACCTAAGGAGTGATACTGGCTTAATGGAGCTAGAGCAGACTTTTAAAATTATAGCTGTTCCAGACCAAAGGAACTGCCTCAAAAATATCTGGATGGGATGATTTGCTTTTTAATTACTCAGCAAATACACTGAGAGCAGTTTCAACAGTCAGGAAAATTACATTTAATAACACTAATGGCTTAATATGATCTATAGTGTCATCCTATGATGGGACCCTGCAGTAATAGTCTTGGAAGACATTTAGACTTTTAAATACTTTTTTTTCAGCTAGAACTTAGGAAACATCTGGCAGGGTAGCAATAATTATTTTCTTTTTATTTGCAGTATCAGGATTACTTAATTAGTATCAAGATTTAGTTATTACAAAGGGCACTTCTAATACAAAAGGATTAATTCGAATTTTTCTGTTTTTTGCTTAATTCAGTCATATTTAAGCCTCAAAATATTATGCCCTTCATTATTTGAAAAAAAGGTACCTGTCAGTTTATGTGACAAACTTCTCCTTGGACTAAAAATAGTTAAATCCAATTTCTGCATACTCAGACTGCAAAACTAACAAGTCTAGTCACACAAAAAAGACAATCCTTTACTGGAGCTAAAGGTGGCTTTCTTTGCAGTGCTTAAATCAAGAGATATGTTTTTAAAGGCACAAGTTATAAACACCACTCTACAGCAGATTCCCTTCTGCTTCTGCACCTTACATGTTCACAGAATCCATTTTAACAACCAGCTGCTACTATTTTCTTGAAGTCAGTTCAGATACAGCACCTGTTTATGATGACACATGCACAGAGCAAATCTTATGCTAAGGCGCTTTCCCCCCCCAGCAAGAGAAAGGCTTCTAGCTCTCGACCTCTGGGGTCAGGGCTGCTCAGAATGGGGCTCTAGATCAAGAAACCATTGAGAAGTTGTGAGTAGCTAGAGATTATGACAACGCAGCCATTCTCTCTATCTTCTCCAGAGGCCTGCAGACCTGTAGACGGAAGCTGCAGCAGGAACCAGCAACAGTATCTGTCTGCTTTCTGAGGACTCCTCCTGGCTACCAATGCTCTCGCAAAGCAAAGTGAAATTCATTTCCACCCCTTTATACCACCAGCAGCATTGATGAAACAGCCTGATCTTTTTGGATTAAGGATAATTAATCTTTAAAGCTTAAAAGCTTAACTATGCACTTGACAGGTAATGAGCACTGCTGATTCTTCTTAAAGGAACTGTTCTCTTTGCAATGGAGATGGTGAGACTGCTGCACAGCCCATGTGTTTCACAGTTCTCTTGGATAGTTAACAATAAAAACAAGCCAAGAACAAAGAAGCACAAGACAGATCTAATGTTGTATTTTTTTCTTTTCTTTTACTATGTTTTGTGTTGTTAACTCTGAAGAAACCCTCACATTATTTTTAAGTTTAAAAAATATTTTGGGGTTTTTTATACATTCAAAAAATGCATTGGGGAAACTCTAGCTATCTGACACTTAAAAAAGTGTAAGAGAATTTTACATTCTTTCCCATTTATAGCATGGCACCGTGAACAATGATAGTGACATTCATTATCTTTGAATTACTTCTTTTCATTGGCTTCATTTTCTTCCTCTAAGTTAAAATAAAAGGATTTGTCATAGCCCATGAGACGGTTAAAATCCTGAGGATCTGGGAAAAGTGCAGGATTAACAAGCATTGATTTTGTTTTAGCATAAAATGTTGTAAACATCTTGGTGATGTCTGGAATCTTTACATCTTTCTGATGGAAAACAGTTGCTTTTTCTGCCAAGATTGCATTGTATGTAATGGCTGTGTATGTGTCCATTTCATCTTTATAATACAGTCGAATCACGTAGCCTTTTGTAAGGACATGCAACGTAACTGGAGTTACAAATGTAAAAAACCCGACCATCCCATAAAAAGCAGCTTGGATAAACAGACTTTCAAATCCAATACCAGTTTTGAACATGAGGTAGGGCATCATGAACAGGTTGAATATGCTGGTGGAGTAAGAGAAAAACTTCACACCTACATAAAACAAAATAAAACAAAAGTTAATACTTATGAGTAACTTTTCTCTATAAATACATATGTTCTGCTATCGGGTACTGATTGCATTACTTGAACCACTGCAGTTACTGAAAATCCAGGTCCCTTTTTTTTTAAGCTCACAAAGAAGCCACTGGAAGTTCAATCCTGTCTTCTTGCCACTATTCTGGTTCATTTTTATGCTCATGCTAGGTTTATCAAAGCTGGTAACTGGCTCCATTTCTGTGATGAACTCAGCTACTAGCACATATTATGCATACCTATTAGTGGTCTACTTCACAAAAAGGAAACTGATTTCAAAAGAAACTTGATCCAGTTGTGGACAGACATAATGGTAAACATCACAAACATGACTGGGAATTTCTCACCAGTAACCAATGTTGACAGTGTGCATTACAAAGAAGCTTGCCTGGTCTCCCACCATGCACAACTTGGAAACTCCATGTTAGTCAATATTAACAGGTACTCCACAGTCATCTTGCATGCAGAGAAATGGCAGGAACCAGTATTGTGGATAACCTATGGTCCTTAAGCCACCATGAGAACCAGTAGTCTAAAACACTCTGGTTATTAAGTGTGTTAAGGCATACTTCGTTACTTAAGATACATTTCAAAAATACATATCAGAAAACATCCACCAGGTTACTTTTCACTAAGGCTTTCTAACATTAACTGGTCAAAGAAAGATCAACAAAGTCTCATCACAGGTAGTGCATTTCATCACAGTATCTGTCTACTTCAGAAATTCTTCAGTAACATTTGAAAACATACACAATGCAAACAGCAGTTACAGCTAGTCTTTGTTTGCTACTGGGCTGGGTGACACACTCGAAAAGCTGCAAAGGAAACAGAAAGAAGCTGCAGAGTTACAGAGGTGCACAGGACCTACAGAACACCCTGCGCACCCAAGCGTAGAAGCAGAAACCAAGCACCACCGCCACAATTTTTGCTGTACAGAGGATCCAGGTTTTAACAGGGTTGGAAAAGAGAACACTCACTTTTACAGTGTTTGATTTTAAAGTTATCAAACACTGTTAAATAATTAAATAATAATTTAGGAAAAAAAAAGGCAATACAAATAATTTCAAGTCACATACCTAACACTGCCTTTGCCATATTTCCTTTATAAACTAATCTTCCGTGTTCTGGGTGATCATGAGGGGTGGATGTGCTGAGGCTGCGAACAGCCAGTCCTTGAAGAGATGTAACCTGAAAGATGAAAGCAGTCCATGGCCAAACAACATTAGCACCAATATGGACTTTATAATACATATGTATGTATATAGCACACTAGGTTTCTCCTAGCCTTGAACCTACTCCAAGTATCTTAAATTAGGAATTAAAGTTACGTTATACTACAAATCGCACCACAAAGTCGAACTAATATATTTCTTGACTGCTTTCGTAATGCTCCATGTAGATATCCCAAGAAAGCATTTAATACTTGCAACCCCATTGACGAACACTCTGCTTGCCATAATTTCACATACGGCTCTGCCCGGGACACTGGCAGGGCCCATGCCTGCCAGGCCTCCGTCTGATCTCAAATAGCCCTTAAGGGGACCTAAGCTCCCCATTTTCCGGACGGAAAAAACCGCGATCCCACGACTGCCGCCCTGCCCCCGGGAAGCTCCTCCCGGGAAGGAAGCGAGGCCGCGTCCCCGTACCACCACCTGATACACAACCTGCTGGGTCCCGGTGGAGGTGGGCAGGGCCGCCCGGTGGCGGAGAGCGGCAGGGAGCCCGTGGTGAGCAGCGCCCCTCAGCCAGACGGCTGCGGCAACAGCGGAAGCCGGGGCGACGGCACGCCGACAGCCCGCAGCCCGCAGCAGCAGCATCGTGTCGGGCCGCGTCCCGCTGCAGCCGGGTACAGGAGAGCAGCACGCCTAGCGGTGCACCAGCAGCAGCCCCTCACCGCCCCGCAAGCCCGCGCTTTGGTTCCGCCAGCAGGAGCTGTCTGGCCGACTCCACCGCGCCCCCGCCAGGCTGCCGGCGGCCACCTCCGCCTAGCGGTACAGCACAACAGCCCCGAGGGGTGGGCTGGGACTAACGGGACCCAAGGGTGTCACTGGCACTGCATTAGTGGGGACAGCAGAGCGGGGCGAGCTGAGACCGTACGCCCTCGTGTTAGGACCCGCGTCCGGTGAGTAACAGACTGTGCCCGCCCTCGCGGACCACGGCTGCCACTAACCCCGAACCCGGAGCCGCCGTCCCTGCAGCACCGTCTCAGCACCTCCCCCTTCCACTCCTCACATGGCGAACCGGAACCTCTTTCCCCCGGAACTACGCGCCCCAGCATGCACCGTTCCCGCCGTACGGCATGCCGGGAGTCTGGCGCAGCACGCCTTCCAAGGGCAAGGCGCCGGGGGGCGCTCGCCCCGAGACGGAAGTGACCTGCGACCTGGCCGGAAGCTCTTGTGAGGCAAGTGGCCCGGTACGGCGGGGCCCGGCGAGCGGGGCGGAGGGAGCGGCGTTGACGGGTGAGTGGCTGTGGGGGCCTCGCCGCTGTTCGGGGGCTGAGGCGGACGGGGAGCCCCGGGACCTGCCCCTGGAAGTGCAGTGGGCCTTGCCCACTGCGCCGCGATCACCCTGCTGCCAGAGGCGAGCGGAAGCCGGGCCGCGGAACGTGAGGCTTGGGGCGGCCGGGGGTGCGTGCAGGGCCGCGGTGCCAGGCTGGGGATCCCCGCCGGGGCGGTGGTGAAGGGCGCGTTTCTCTACGGAACGAAGCGGCCTCCTTTAAATCCAGGCGCCGCCGGGATAGGGGCTTTCCGGAACCATGTTTTAATTAAGCATCGCTCTTAAACTTTTTCCGCCACAAATGACGCCCACCCTCTTCTCACGCCAGGCCCTAGAGAGTGGGAAAAAGCTAAGGCCAAAAGCATTTAGGATGCACCCGCAGAGGTTGTTATACCAAGGTGAGAAGTGCCGGTTAAAGTGCTTTAGCTGTAATGGTCGACGAATGTAAGCAAAGCAAGGTTGACAGAAAAGGGTGATACACTTACATGTAGTAAGAAAAATAAGGTTCTTAGTGCCATGTGTTCATCAGAAAAAGATTCTGCTTTAATGTAAAGGAACCTAAGCATTGGTAAGTTACTGATGGCTTAAGACATTCGGATGAAAAGGTGATGGTGATACTAGTGGTTAACTTTGATGTCCAGTTTAATCTCAGTTTGTGTGCAGGAGCTTAAAGATGTGTATTTAGTACTGTAGCTTATGAGCTAAGCTTAGTAGGGAAGTTTTGATAGTCACAGGCCACTGGTTTACTTGGGCTTGCTAAAGATAACTTGCAAAAGTTCACTTTGGAAGAAAGCCAGAAAAACGTAGATAGGCAGGTGAGGGACCTTTGAGATAAGATGTGTGTTTGTACACACATTTCTGCATAATCCCTGATGTGCTCCAGTTTCCTGGTTTTGCTATACATATATGTGTATAGTGGCCAAAAAAATATTGTTGGGAGAGAAATAACATTTATTAACTGAAGAGTGAACTTACAAGGGGAGTAAGTGTTAATTACTTTTTTTTATGATACATCTGCTATCATCTTTGCACACGTAGTATACACCATACACCTTGAGGTCAGCCTTTTAATGTGCTTAAGTTTTGTCAATAATGGGCATTTCCCATTAACATTGGGAGCTTTGAGATATTCTCTAGAAACTTTCAGCACTTCACCATTTTTTTTTTCTTGTGTCAAAGTAATTTGGGATTTCTGGTGTTTTTGTTTTTTTTTTAATACGAGAGTAGGGGATTAACAGATTTGCGTAGTTTCATGTAGTCTCAATGTGAAGACTTAATATTGGTACCATGAGGAGATCTAGTGGATTTTCTGAGGTTTCTTCTATCTCCCAACCTCATATTTCTTTTTCCACTACGTTTGTGTTCATGTTTCCCTAACCCTTATGCTTTGGGGAGAAATTAATACCTTTTAAAAGTGTACTTAGCTTCAGATGTTTGACTGTGTTTTTGCAATTCTCAGTGTATGTTATAAGACACCCCTAAGTTTTGTCATAGAAGTGTGAGTTTTGTCAGATGGAAATAAAGTAATTCTGATGTATTTTGACAAGTTCTCTTGCCCCTAGAAAAGTTCAGAACTTAAATTATCTTCAACATGGTGTGGCTTGCATAACAGTAGTCTTTGATGAATGCCTATGACATTTTGCAATCTGCTAGCAGCTGTTTTTATCCCTAATGGCCAGAGCTGTACAGTACAGGGTTTTTATTGTATGTTGGAAGGAAAACAGTAACACCCCGCTGCCTTTTCTTTTTCCCCTCAAATTTTATTGGGGGTTACTGAAAAGTTTCCATGGGCAGAAGAACATCTTACATGAGATCTTTCATACTCCCTATGTGGTATCCTACCCTACCTCCTGTTTATCTTAACTAGCACTCACCCATAGTATACTGTCTGGCCACACTTCACTGTGCTCCTGAATGTTTGAATTTTAGTGCCCGTGATCATGGAGTAATGAATCAGCTGATGTGTAAATCACACTGTACAGGTTTTCTTTCATGTGTTTTCTAAGTACGCTACAATCCTCATTTACATTAATATTTTTTTTATGTGTGGTGAACAATGAGTACTGAACTGGAGAGCAGTATTTTTAAACAAGTTAGTATACAGGATCAAGAATGGGACTAGAATTTAGGTTTGAAGAGTAGGAGGCTTCTCTTTTTAACACACAGCAGTGCTTGTTTGCTGATGAACTCTTACAGATATACAAATGACACCCAGAAAATGTCACATTTGGCTTCTAAACTGATCTAGGAATTGTGAAGACATTTATGTTATTTGCCCATATTTTTGAAAAAATAACAGTGTAGGATACAGAAATGTCGCTAGCTGAAGCAGACAGAGGCTGTGTGTGCACTGCCCAGCTAATGAATTGGAAGCCATTTGCATTTCTTTCAACCAGAATCTGAGTTTTTAAGAGTTTTCTGTGGGATCAAAGAATTTGAGTGCTTGAAATGTTTGCATAGATTTAATTTGCTTCTGCTAAGCAGAATAAAGCAGTGGCGTTCAGGAATCTGTGCAGTGGTTGCATGTGTTGCAAGTTAAATTAGTGTATGCCCTTCATAACGTAAGTGTATGTCTGTTCCAGGCTCATCAACATACATACAGGATGTACAAGGAAATTATAATTCTGGGAAGCTTTGGGGGTGAGCACACAGCTTTGGGAGTGAGATGGGAAGGTCATGGACATGCTTTGGTTTTTGTCTTGCATTCAGTGCTCAAGAGAAGTAGAAAAGAGATAAAACTAAACTCACCATACCATAGTATTTCTTCTTAGAGTTGTAAATGAGGAGAATAAGATGTTGAAGTAGGCTAACAAGAACACATGCCTTGTGTGGGTTAATTACCATGTTCTATAATACTTTGCTAAATTCTACCTCATAGGTGTAAATATTCTAGCAACTTGTGAAATTTTCAGTCCTTAATATCTAATGAGAACTTTGTTTTCTACAGCAAGAGCTTCCTTTTTAGACTGGTTGGAAAGTTTCTGTGCCAGATACACTGGTTCTAGTTGTCTCTTATTCTCCCTCACTTATTAAAACATGGCATATCCTTTTTATGTAATCTTCCTCTTAACAATCGCAGGTAGTTGAGCTACCTAATTGCTAATGCCACATAAGCTTCTTGAAGAGGAAATGGTTTATGAATGTGCTTCAATGAAAATTAGTAGTTCTTTGCAGGAGTCTGAAATAGTCAGATCAGCAAAACATAGTAGAAAAAGGCAAATGCTTGAGTGTTCAGAAAACTTGTATTGTTCTCTTCCCTTTTGGTGTAGTCTTGGTGAAGTCAGACAGGCAGCTACAGAATGTGGAAAAGTAATTAAAATACAGGCAGTTACCAGAATTCTCACCAAGTCTGTTTCTTCATGTTGTCTTGGAAAAAATATAATTTCTATTGTTTTCATTATGCAGAAGGAAATAGTGACATGCTTTTCAAGAAATAGTGCACTTGAAATACACTGTAAGAAAGAATTTCTGGTAAGAGAGTATACTAGGTCACTTGACCTTTCTGTTTCTAACCTACTGTTTAGCACTTAAGGACATGCAATTGTCAATTAAAAAAATATATATTTTTCTGCAGCAACTTTCCCTCCACACTATTTTTACTATACACACAATAACTTGAGTGTGACTGAGAATTCTATCTCCTATTAAATACCAACTCAAGATTCTATCAAAGAAATAAATAAATCTTGCGTATTTTCTGTGCCAGTGTTTTGGTGTATTACTTCTGCTATCCCACTTATTTTTCTGTAAACTTTGGAACCAGTAAGATAGTTGACTAAAAATAAGCTGTGGCTTGCACAAGATCATGTTAATACTGTCTCAAATGACTTGAATGTAGCTTTTGGGAAGAAGATGCTTTTCATAGAACAATAATTTTGAACTGCAGTATCTTTTAAAGTGTCACGACACAACACTTCTTGATCCAGAAGAAGAACCAGTAGATTCTAAGAGGTTATTATTGGTTTGGAATTACTGGTTTGGATTTTTTTTTATTGGTTTGGGGCTATTTTTTTAGGTTTTTCATGTTTTCCAGGTTTTTGTTTTTCTTTCCTTCTCTTTTGTTGCATTGACTCTATCATACCAGAATAGAAACTGAGAGAAAACAAAGTGTATCCCTTGCTTACATGTCGAATGCATCATATAATGGAATGTATTATGCCTTGTTCTTAAAAGCAGGTAGGCTTTCTGCATCTTTTACTTTTGGAGATAGAATGTTAGTTTTGTTCTATATTTGGAATCAAACTTGGATTCTGGAAAAGCAGTATGAATTTTATTCATTTTTTTAGTGTATGTTCTTTTATTGGACTTAAACTGAGGAATAACAGAATACTTTTCCCTCTTTATCCTTTTAATAAATTCTTATGTCTATCTTCATTCTAGTTTTATTTTGTTAAACTAAGTAAAGTGAGACTAATTTTTTTTTTTTTTATACAACAA